ACTCCATGGAACCATTTGTGTGCAAACACAAATGAAGATAAATACCCTTTTTACACCCAAACAATCATGGACACATTCTACCCCCCCCCACCCCCACCCACAAATTTTGCATAAGCATTCTCTTTGATTTCTCTTGGGATGATTGTAATACCCAGGAGAAACTGAAAACAAAGGTAAGCAAAGTTTTGGGGGCAACAAAGGTGGACTATGGTCTATGTTAAAATGGTGAATACAGTACTGCTGTTGATATCATCCAATGTTTTTCAGTGCAAAATCTAGAGTTATTTAAGTTTTGTTTCCTGGTATTACCTCAGTTTCAGTCAACTCACACTAGGATAGACAGTGATGGATCAGAATATAAATTTTTTTGTCCAAAATGTTAGCTGTCTCCACCCCCTAAGCCATCTCTCTCCCCCTGCTCTACCCACAAGTAAGGGGGTGCATTTGGCTACCATTTCAGATTAACAGCAGCAAGTAATGGCTATTTGAATTTGACAGATATAGGTCTGATAATTATAATTCAGTGGATTGTACGAATGTCTAAACGTATTTTGCAGAAAAGAGACAAACCAAGAAAAAACGATACAGCTACCAAAATTTTTTAGGGTGAGTTAAAAATATGAAAAGCTCAACATCACTACTGACTGTCTGTCTGAAATTGCTACATTGACCAAGGCATAGGTTGTAATGGCTGGTTAAGGTTGGATTCTGCCGGCACCTACTGGCCAGTGTACTTGGATGAGTAAAATGTATGAAATCTTGTCTCATATATAACAAGTTAACAAGTAGCTAAACTACTAGATTCACCATTCATAAGAGCCACTGTGTTTGCAACTCGGCTCAAAAGAGCTCTAACAGTATCCTTATCTTCTTTTCCCCAAACTTCGTCAGCAAGGTACTTCTCAACTGTTCCCTCTGCTTCTTTGGGTTCTAAAGATGCATCTGGCTCTACAGGCAAGTGTACGGTGAAGATAATCGCGACATGTTTATTTGGTGCATTCTGATCATCGCAATATGAGTAGAACAACAGAGGTGATGGGGGCGGAAGGAGCTCAAAGTGATGGATAAGTGCTGCTTTGTGGCCATTCTTAAACCTTCTTATTAGTAAATCATCCATCCTCTTCTTAGCCTTCTCACCAGGGTAATTCCTTTCTTCTCTTCCATCAATTGTAGCTAACATTCTCTTGTGTTTTGGGTCTAATGCCTCTGCAAGCTTCCTGGCAAAACACTCCACAGTGCTATGAGCAGCTGGGGGTGCAGCTAGTAACAATACTAGTGGCTGAGGGGGACTGGCGTTTCTGAGATGTGCCAAACCACGGTTCTTTAAGATCCGCCAGAACCGGTCAGTTTGATTAGTGAAAGAAGACTGAAGTTCCACGATCTTATTTGCAAAGATCTTGGGAAAGTCAAAATCCGTTTCTATTTCAGGTTCTGGAGACCAAAATATGATAGCCACGATAATTAACATAAATGCAACGATTAAAAGGATCATAGGAACGTCCATTGAGCTAGGTACTTGACGTCGTTCGCTGGCCTGTTCGGGCTCACGTTTTGGGTTTGTTGTGTTCTGAGCTTGCGGCGGTGGACCATATGACTTTCCATCAGATGAAATGTCCTGGGAGCTTTCTTCACCTGCTGTTTTATTTTCCTTCTTTGTTTTTTCCCCAAGGTTAATACCATCGGAAGATGCGGCCTTCGAACGAAGCTTATTACTATCCTTTGCTAAAGGAACGATTACGTCGGGCGCCTTATTTTTGGGCGAAGCGATATCTTCCTGAGCATTTTTCCCACCGTTTTTTGCAGGCATTTTCTTTATAGGAGGTCTTTTAGAGGCCATTTAATCGATCAATATACTTCTGATGAATTTCCAAACTCCACCTTCACTGCAGCAACGTTATCTTGGAAAGCAAACACAAGCGAGGACGCCCGGTTTTTCCGCATTCCGCGTGGGAAACGACTCGTTACTCTGTCTTTTCTAAGGATTTATTAGATTGGTCAAATCAGGGACGAATAAATTGCCTCAACCAATAGAAATTTAAGTTATAAAATCCATTGGAAACATCGCCTCCAATTTGGCTTCAATATGGCGAAGAGTGGGATGCTTTTGCCATTTATCTTGTTGTGTTTTACTCCATTTGTTATGACATTCATCGTCGAAACTGCCGCCGGGACTGCTGTGTCGGGATCTTTGGCTTATGTGGCGCCAAGAGTGTGGTGTCGTTTTAAAGAATGTTGCACAGATAGATGGATCTCGGCGAACATCAGCGGTTTGCAGCCAGCTCTACGCCGACGCGTGTTTGGACAGCATTTAGTCACCGAGACAGTGATTAAGGCAATAGTTGGACATCTGAATAATAAATGGCCGAGCAAAGCCTTGGCACTCTCTTTTAACGGCTGGACTGGATCTGGGAAAAACTTTGTTAGCAAGATCATTGCTGAGCATATTTTTAAGGAGGGAATGGAGAGTAAATTTGTCCATCAAATCATTGCCACACATGATTTCCCACACCAGTCGGAATTGGAACGTTATAAACGAAATCTGCGTAGTTTGGTTTCTACTTCAGTGTCAAAGTGCTCAAGGTCGTTGTTCATTTTTGACGAAATGGATAAAATGCCGATCGGTCTCATAGATGTACTAAAGCCCTACTTAGACCACTACCCTGATGTTGACAAAGTTGACTTTCGAGGAAGTATTTTTATATTTTTGAGCAATACGGGAGGTCATCTGATCAATGACGCAGTCCTCCGACACTGGAAAGAGGGAAAGAAGAGAGAAGACATTGGTATTAAAGAGATGGACAAGGTTGTTAACCTTGGTGAGTTCAACACTAAAGGTGGTTTCTGGCATTCATCGCTCATTGAGAAAAATCTTATAGATTATTTTATCCCATTTTTACCTTTGGAGAGATCTCATGTTAAAATGTGTGTTAAAGCAGACTTGGAAAAAAAAGGACATCCAGTTATTGAACAACTCGTTAACAGCATTGCAGATGAGCTATTATACTTCCCAGAATACGTAAAGGTCTTTTCACAGTCTGGTTGTAAGAAAGTATCGAGCAAAGTTGACTTTATCATGAATTAGATTAGACGTTGGTGTGGGTTGATTTTTCTGAGTACAGTCCAACCCAGGCCAGGCATTTTTTACAAGACATTGAACAATGGGTGTCTAACTAGGCTAAGAAAAATTTTGTGTTAATTTTTTCCAAAATGACCCATCTTCGCAACGTACTTTAAAATAATTGACATCCTTCCCAGCAATGCTATACTTGTCACCCTTGACGTTTCTTCTCTATACACAAACATTCCAACTAACAAAGGAATCGACACATGCAGGATAGCTCTTAGCCAACGGACTGACACATCTGATCCTACAGAATCCATATATATGTGATCTCATCCGCGTGATCTTAACCATGAACAATTTTGTCTTCAATAATGAACATTTTATACAACAACATGGTACAGCTATAGGCACACAAATGGTTCCAGCATTTGCTAAGTTATTCATAGGGGATTTCGAAAGGAAAGCATTAAAAAATTACCCTGACAACCCATATCTTTGGCTGAGGTATATTGACGACATCTTAATGGTTTGGACACATGGTGAAGATAAACTGAACGAGTTTGTAAAGTACCTCAACAACAAACACCAGTGAATGCTCAACAACGTTTATCCCTTTCCTAGATGTTAACATTCAACGCCACAATGGTAGAATAGAAACTGATCTTTACTGCAAACCTACAGATAAACATTAATACTTACTGCACTCTTCAAGCCACCCATATCACATTAAACAGCCTAGCTCTTTGCTTACGCCACATTTGCTCCACGGATAATTTCTTTGAAACCCAATCATCTGAACTAGAAAATTACTTTATAAAACAAGGCCACAAAAGATGCTTCATAAAAGAACAAATCACCAGAGCAAAACAGGTATCTCGAAATGAAGCCTTAAAAGAGAATAAACCAGCCACCAGAGATACATTAGTCTCCGAATCCCTTTACAGTTACCAGTACCTACAATCCAGCTCTACCTAACATCCATGACACACTCCGCAAGAAACAACCCATTCTGCAATCCACTGAACGCTTAAGAAACATCTTTAAAGAAGTACCTGTCGTCGCTTTCCGCCATTCACCAAACCTTTGTAACCTACTCGTTCGTGCGAGGCTCACAAACAACGACAGGACACCCAAAACCCCTGCCAGCACATTCTGTTGCAACTCCAGACATGGCTGCCTCACCTGCCCATACATTAACCATGGAAAAACATCATTCACTTTCACCAACACAGGAGAAACAAGACAAATTAAAAATCACATTACGTGTGACTCAACAAACCTAACATAATATATGATCCAATGTAAAAGATGTAAAAAACAACATATAGGTGAAACTAAACGCACACTTCGTGAACGCTTTAAAAAACATAGACAGGCAACAAACGAATCCACTCCACGCAAACATCACAGCAGCAGCTCCTTCCCACTTTAATCAACCTGGCCACTCGATCGTAGCCATGGAACTTATTCCACTGGAACAACAACCCACCCTCAGCATGTCACGCCGTAAGGCAAGAGAAGCGTGCCTCATAGATAGAGGCGAAACCCTGTCACCGGACGGTCTGAACCGAAGGAATGAACATTGAACTGTTTCTATTTCTATTTTTATTGTATAACATTTACCTTTATATTAGTCTTTCTAGTATTAATAATTTTAGTTAATTATTTACCACTTATGTAAATTTTAAATTCAAATTTTAGGAGCCGTTAAAAGATATTTTCTCTTGGTATAGCTCTGGCCCTGAGGAAGGCTAATATTATTTTGTTAGCTGAAATATTGGCCATAATAAATTAGCTCTTTGCTGTAGTGCCAGCTCTGCATCAAGTTTTGTTTTATTTTACACTTTAAGGGGCGTCTGGCTACAGCATCTCTTTAATTAGAGATCCGGCAAGAGGAACCAGTCAGTTACATTTATGCGTTGCTTGGACCTCTGCATTCAAACAGTTTATCCTCTGGTAGTCTGCAAGCGCAGACCTATTTCTGGTCGTTGCTTCTCTCCACCCAAAAAGTAAGCTGTAATGGTGGAGTTAAGCGATGACTGGAAATACGTGCATGTCTGCATTCATAGGATATTCCACTAGATGCCTGAACTTCTTTTTGGCTAAAACCTTCAATCTTGAACAGTGTCTGGTCAATGTTGTTCAGTCATACAAGAACAGAAAAATATCCAGTTGGACTTCAGCATATTTTGTTTTTTGGGAAAGGGAATTCGAAGGGGAGGTATTTGTAATTGCCAGTGCTTTGAAGAGCTTTATCTTGAAACTAGACATAGCAGTGTCCACTTTTCCTGACACTGTTCAAGATTGAAGGTTTTAGCCAAAAAGAAGTTCAGGCATCTAGTGGAATATCCTATGAATGCAGACATGCACGTATTTCCAGTCATCGCTTAACTCCACCATTACAGCTTACTTTTTGGGTGGAGAGAAGCAACGACCAGAAATAGGTCTGCGCTTGCAGACTACCAGAGGATAAACTGTTTGAATGCAGAGGTCCAAGCAACGCATAAATGTAACTGACTGGTTCCTCTTGCCGGATCTCTAATTAAAGAGATGCTGTAGCCAGACGCCCCTTAAAGTGTAAAATAAAACAAAACTTGATGCAGAGCTGGCACTACAGCAAAGAGCTAATTTATTATGGCCAATATTTCAGCTAACAAAATAATATTAGCCTTCCTCAGGGCCAGAGCTATACCAAGAGAAAATATCTTTTAACGGCTCCTAAAATTTGAATTTAAAATTTACATAAGTGGTAAATAATTAACTAAAATTATTAATACTAGAAAGACTAATATAAAGGTAAATGTTATACAATAAAAATAGAAATAGAAACAGTTCAATGTTCATTCCTTCGGTTCAGACCGTCCGGTGACAGGGTTTCGCCTCTATCTATGAGGCACGCTTCTCTTGCCTTACGGCGTGACATGCTGAGGGTGGGTTGTTGTTCCAGTGGAATAAGTTCCATGGCTACGATCGAGTGGCCAGGTTGATTAAAGTGGGAAGGAGCTGCTGCTGTGATGTTTGCGTGGAGTGGATTCGTTTGTTGCCTGTCTATGTTTTTTAAAGCGTTCACGAAGTGTGCGTTTAGTTTCACCTATATGTTGTTTTTTACATCTTTTACATTGGATCATATATTATGTTAGGTTTGTTGAGTCACAAGTAATGTGATTTTTAATTTGTCTTGTTTCTCCTGTGTTGGTGAAAGTGAATGATGTTTTTCCATGGTTAATGTATGGGCAGGTGAGGCAGCCATGTCTGGAGTTGCAACAGAATGTGCTGGCAGGGGTTTTGGGTGTCCTGTCGTTGTTTGTGAGCCTCGCACGAACGAGTAGGTTACAAAGGTTTGGTGAATGGCGGAAAGCGACGACAGGTACTTCTTTAAAGATGTTTCTTAAGCGTTCAGTGGATTGCAGAATGGGTTGTTTCTTGCGGAGTGTGTCATGGATGTTAGGTAGAGCTGGATTGTAGGTACTGGTAGCTGTAAAGGGATTCGGTGACTAATGTATCTCTGGTGGCTGGTTTATTCTCTTTTAAGGCTTCATTTCGAGATACCTGTTTTGCTCTGGTGATTTGTTCTTTTATGAAGCGTCTTTTGTAGCCTTGTTTTATAAAGTAATTTTCTAGTTCAGATGATTGGGTTTCAAAGAAATTATCCGTGGAGCAAATGTGGCGTAAGCAAAGAGCTAGGCTGTTTAATGTGATATGGGTGGCTTGAAGAGTGCAGTAAGTATTAATGTTTATCTGTAGGTTTGCAGTAAAGATCAGTTTCTATTCTACCATTGTGGCGTTGAATGTTAACATCTAGGAAAGGGATAAACGTTGTTGAGCATTCACTGGTGTTTGTTGTTGAGGTACTTTACAAACTCGTTCAGTTTATCTTCACCATGTGTCCAAACCATTAAGATGTCGTCAATATACCTCAGCCAAAGATATGGGTTGTCAGGGTAATTTTGTAATGCTTTCCTTTCGAAATCCCCTATGAATAACTTAGCAAATGCTGGAACCATTTGTGGGCCTATAGCTGTACCATGTTGTTGTATAAAATGTTCATTATTGAAGACAAAATTGTTCATGGTTAAGATCACGCGGATGAGATCACATATATATGGATTCTGTAGGAACAGATGTGTCAGTCCGTTGGCTAAGAGCTATCCTGCATGTGTCGATTCCTTTGTTAGTTGGAATGTTTGTGTATAGAGAAGAAACGTCAAGGATGACAAGTATAGCATTGCTGGGGAGGATGTCAATTTTTTTTCAAGTACGTTGAGAAGATGGGTCATTTTGGAAAAAATTAACACAAAATTTTTCTTAGCCTAGTTAGACACCCACTGTTCAATGTCTTGTAAAAAATGCCTGGCCTGGGTTGGACTGTACTCAGAAAAATCAACCCACACCAACGTCTAATCTAATTCATGATAAAGTCAACTTTGCTCGATACTTTCTTACAACCAGACTGTGAA